TGCCCTTTGCTTCGCTAACTGACGCCATTGATTAGTCCATATCATAAATTGGGTGGCTGTTAAAAGTATTTGTGCTATGGTCTTGCAGTCATGAGGCACCAGGACATGCATTTCAAACACTGATTGCAAAAACCTCATGGAATAGGGGGACTGTAAGCCATTATCTTTGACCGACCGGTGTAGTTCCTTAATTAGGGAAAAATCGAGTCCCTCCCACCTAGGGCGTCTTTGCCTTTCATAGATGATGGGGCACGTCCCACAGGCACGGAGAAGTTCAAAGTCCCCTTCCTTTGCTGCTGCCCGTCGGACCGAGCCCCATCTATCATGGGGATCGGGGGGAAACAAATTCAGTTCCTGCTCAGGATCGACTGGCCCGAGATTGAAAGGGTTGTCTTCAGGCGACTCCTGATCTCCCACGGCCCCCACCACCGTGTCGGCTGATGCCGAATCCAACGGGGGGGCTGTGAGGGTCTTAGACTGTTCTCTGGGCTTTTGAGTATGCTGTTTCAAGGTATCAAACATCGTCCGCCACGCAAAGAGCAACCCTGCTGCTGTTTTGTCAGACTGGGTTGCCGAGTCCCAGAGTTTGAACCCTATCTGGTCCCAAGTTTTGGGATCGTAGAGAGAACTGGAATCAATCCCCGGGCAGTTTGACTGAGCCCACATTAACAGCATTTCAAGATCTTGGAGGGGTATGGTTTTCCCGTGTTGCTTCAATATTTTCTGCATTATGTTCACTACGGTTCTCTGCTCTTGGGAGATATCGTTCCCCTTTGTCCCCAGCTGCTCACCTCCGTCCAGCAGTAGGTAATTAGTTGTGCACGATCCACTTCCTTTCAGCGATCCAAATTCAGCTGGGCTCCACCACCGGTCAGCGGGATGCTGCTATCATAGCCCTGGGTGAAGTGAAAGTTCAGGTCCCTGTTCAGGCACCGTTTGTGGCGGGTTGAAAGACACGGACTCCGATCCGCAGCATCGAAATCAGCTTTACTAAGCAAGTGTGCTCGTTATATACTTTTCTACCAAGGCCAGTAATTTTCTACTTTTACTTGTTTACACCATACTCTACAAGGTCACGTTCCCACTGCAGCACTTCCTTATCTAGGGAGTTGCTTCACACCACTTCCTCGTCTGCCAAAACAGCGCTGCAGCTGCTTATTCCTCCCACGGCTTATGGCCCATTAGTTCTACCACACTTAACCCGTCTTTTGCCTCAGTACCTACAACTTGCGGGGAAGAGGAGGCGGCGGCCCGGGGGCAAGGCGGGGGTCAGCCCCCCGCTCCCCGCAGGACATCGCTGTCGGCCATCCGCCCGTGGGAGCCCGGCGGGGTCAGAGCGCCCCCCGGGGCGGGGGCGGGGACATGACGGGACGGGACCTCCAGCCCTCACTCCAGTTCTCCTCAGGCGCCTCTCGCGACGCGGGGGCGGGGCTTTCGGTTGAGCCAATCAGCGGCGCGGTGAGGGCGGGTAGCGGCGGGGGGGGGGGGGGGGGGGCGCGCGGGGGC